CACCCTCACAAGACCACACACTTGAGGCTGTAGTCAGGGAAGGTACCACTAGAACTGACCTCAGCTGTCCTATAAATTTGATGCAGAGGCTTTATCATCCCCAGTGCAGAGGAAGAACCCAAAGGACAAAAGAGAAGTGCTTTGCCAAAGGTCCCCCAGCCTGTAAAGGCAGACACGGCTTCAAAATGAGCAAGGGACAACACACTACAGTCCATCCTCTTCTGGACACTGCCTCCAAGTTAGTTAAAAAGCAAGTCATTAACAGCACTCTGACTCTTGGCCTTTTATGTGGAGCTAAAGCCCGTCAGACCCCACAGCTGTCTTCCACAGGGCCTTACAGGTACAGGCAGCAACATGGGTCCCACATGAACAAGCACTCTGCTGCTCCGGCTAACAGTGCTGGGCCTGGTTTTCACCTGTTCCTTAAACTGTTGTCGCATCCTCCCACACATGTGCTTTGGATGCTGACATTCAAAAGCACCAGCCTCCATCATGGCCAACTCTTGACATTTCTAAGATGCATTCAGAAGTTTCCAGGTGCTCAGAAAAAAGCCGTGAATTGCTGGGCATGTTGCAAGTCTGGTCAGACTTTAAGGTACCAATGCAGTTTAGGTCTGGGGTTCGCCATCAGCCCACGGTGGGCATCCTCCCTGTTCTTGTTCACCCACAGGGCAGGGGACAGCAATCTGGGGAAAGTGCTTTCGAGATGACAACTGAGGAGGGGTCCCCTGTATGAAGAGAGACTGGTCAGGAGGGGACCTGGGAAGAGCACCAGTCAGAACATAAGTGCCTGAACCAGGGGGGAACTAATTTACTGCAGGACTGAGAGGACCAGAAGAGGGCCAGAGACTCCCAGGGAAGCACAGCCAAGTCCTCCAGGGCCTCAGAGGCCATAGTGAGGAATGAAGCTTCACTGCAAGACAGCACAAGGCACTTAAGGGCTTTCACACATGGAGATGCAAGTTTTATGTAAGTACCAAGCGCCAACCAACTGCACCACAGGAACTTCAAGATGCTCCTTCTGGCTCATCAGTGGACAGCGGGTCCTGAGGAATGAAAGGGAGCTCTGGAACAGTCTAGGAGGTGGCAACAGGCTGGGCAGGGAGTGGCTCTGAGGTGATGGAGACGCAACAGATAGGCCTCTGTGATGGAGCCACCAAGGCCAGTGGGAAATGGGGGTCCTAAAGATGAGTCTAAGGCATGGAACTGGGCCACGGGACAGGCAGTAACCCTACTGGAGGACAATGATGGGAAGGGGACATGGGGCAGGCGGGAGCCACTGCTCACACCTGTCCATGCATGAGGATGCCTCCGGGACATCGCTGTGGGAACTCTCGGCAGCACAGAACTGTCTGAAGCAGTCAGGCGCTGGGTCTGGGCTGAAGCTCTCCACCTGGAAACCATCAGCTGTGGGACCTGGTGAGACCACTGTGGCAGGTTAAAGCAGAGAAAGGGGCCCAAGCGTGCCCGCAGCACCCTGACAGCCAACTACCCAGTAAGGAAAGGCCAGTTAGAGACCGGAGGAGAGGCAGAGAAGGAAAAGGAGAATGTGGCACCACGGGCAGCAGGGGGCGCTGCTGAGATGCTGAAGTGAGGACACAGTAGTTCCTACAGGACTCGGCAAAGTAGCGGAGGACGTGTGTGGTGGGGGAGGGCGCTCAGACAGGGAAGAGTGCATGTGGCTGCAGATGGTTACTTGTCCAAGAGGAAGAGTTTGTAACAG